ACTGCCCATGTCATGGTCGAAGTATTCTTCATAGAACTGATCGTCTGTGTCATCATCCTCACCATTCTCCAGCCTCCCCTCTCTCGAAATTTGTCTCATTAACCTCTCTTGGATTGCAGTTCCCTATTCACATTTTACGCATTTGTCATTTTGTATCAAAAGGTTAACATAACACGAGTTTTTAACTTATTAACGNTTGTGTTGTGTTAGTTAATAGTGTCTTCAAGGTTTAACTTACCATCTTATGGCAACCTTCTTCGAATATTTCGAGGAATCCAGCCACCCATCGATCTGCATTCTCTACCCACTCGTTGCGCAGCAGTTTTACAGTTTGGATCTGAAATACACAGGTTAAGAGGAATGAGTAAGAACAGGGAACTGATATATTATATGAAACTTCTGCGGGATCAGTTTGTTCAGTTAAGATGGATATCACACATGAACATAGTCATCAGAGAGCATATTACTAGCTTAAGCATGAGACTGAACGGAGGTTTCAAGAGCAGCGGATTCACGTGATCAGGCTGCTACTACAGGGATGAAATTAATTAACAAATTGATATCGCCTGCACTACTACCATACATAACAAAGAAGTAAATCCTTGTGGTATTTCAAAAATTCAAACACAAAAGGATTAAGAAGCATCACTTCTTAATGCAATTCTCAAACCCAATAATCAAAACAAGAAGACGCAAAAAAACGCAACAGATAGGAATGCTTTCTACCTAGAGGCTAAGTGAACAAGCAAGTTATGAGAAGTTGAATGCAAACTTGACACAGTAAGAGTGGTTTCCATGCAGTCGCTAGATAGTCAGAGGGTACAAGTTCGAGGGGAGATGTGAATAGTCAGAGACAAGACCTAAAATTTAGTTTATTCTCCTTGTAACTTATGATGAATAGCTTGTTTAATAGAATGCAATACACTCGAAACGATGGACTTATGATGATCAATTTAAGTAAATGAAAATTGAGAGAAGACATGCCTTTTCTCCCACTCTTTCTTGTTGTTCTTTGACCCTCTCCTGGAGTTTCTTTAGCCTCATATTAACTCGAAGTCTCTTTTCCTGTAGCAAATCCACAAACCCAAAGATTACACCTCCAAGTTAAAATTTGGCAAAACAACAAAAACGAAGCGGTCAAAAAAATGATGTCATGCCTTCACAAAGCTAACTCCAAGATCTTCCCTTGAATATCCTCTATCCAAGTTACGCATGACATACTGGTTGTAATCTTTCACTATTCTCATTATTATATCCGAGGTCGATATTCCTTCAGTTCGCATTGTTTCCTTAAACCTCCCGACTTTCTTAACCTGCAACGAAAATGGATGCTCAGCTAAAACAGAAATATGAAAGAGTCAAAAGCACGAGTATGAAAATTCTCCTGACTCACAAATTCATAGACATCCTTTCCAGCTCCGCTGGTGTCAGCATACCTGTGGATGATATTAATAGAACACTTGAATTTCCACCATATTTGGAAACTAAATCAAGACTAACACGAGAAGACACATGTTCTTACGGAAGGGAATCGTGAGCCACATAGTCAATCCGATGCTTGTCTAGAAACTCTTGGTTAATCACCCAAGGTGCATCAGGGATGACTTCATCCACCCACCTGTATGATAAAACAAAAATCTACTAAATACCACTTCCATGGATACCACTAACACATACAACACAAAACATATGAGAAAGACAATTACTTGCAATGCCGCAGTGATTCGTATCGCTCTTCTGCAGTCATTACAGTCCTTCCCTTGTACTTATGTGTAGTTTCATCATTGCAACATCCAACAAGAAGGTAAGTGTTTGGAAACCTAGTCAAATCACAAAACAATAGCACAACCATAAGAACACGAAACCATGGATCTATAATCCTCCCAGAAATTTCAATTTACCTCTCACAAATTACAAAAATCAAAACTCAAGCACGAGAATCCAGAAAACATCAACTATTGCAAAAATTCCAAAACTACAAAAGCCTTGGGTTATCACAAATTCTGCAGAACGTATCGATCAACTATCATCAAAATCATCTGATAACGAATTCGACAAAATCATCAACTTACAAGGAACCAAATTCAATAGATCAACAAACAAATGACACTGAGAACACCGAAAATCAAACACAATCCCGGAAAATTTTCGAAAATTAGGGATGCGAATTAGGAATACGAACGATAATTTGGCTTGTTCGAGAGATCGAGCGTGACCAAAGTGGAAAAGATCGTAGATCCCATCGGCGTACACGCGGACGGGACGATCAGTCGGAGGAGAGCTTTCGACAGGTGTATAGGCGGTGGCACGGCCGTCGTCAGGACGATCGCCGGTGACGTTGCTCATATTTTTCCGATGAAGAGACGAAATCACCCGCCTTATTGAGGAAAAAAAAAACGGAAAACTACAAAAGAGCTAGTCGCTTCCCTCTTCTCGCACCATTTTTTTTTGTTTTTTGTTGGGATAATAATATCTTCAAGGGAAAAGGAAAACTGATAATAAT